GGTGTGGGAGGTTGGGGGAACCAGGTGGTGGGTATTAGAGAGGGCACGGATTGCATGGAACACTGGGTGTGGTACAAAAACAATGAATACTGTTATGCTAAAAATAAAATTTAAAAAATGATTATTAAAAATAATAAATATAGGCCTAAAAAATAAATTCTGTCCTCATGCATTCCTGTAGGATGGGGACAAATCATGAAAAGCCTCCCCACACCCTGGTGGTCCTGGCAGGATGGGAGGTAGATGACAGGAATGCATGGAGATCCACGCATCCTTTGTCAACCACAGAAATAAAGATTTTGCCTGCAGAAGAAGCCCTCAGACGAAGCATCCTGGGGTCACAGGTGGAGTCCCACAGGATCTGGAAGGGGAACAGACGTCACAATCTCAGTTCTGTTGAGGACTACACACACTTTTCACATGGAATAAAAGCCTTAGTCTTCATGGAAAAGTAGGGAAACAAAATCTGGGGACAGCCAGTGACCACTGGCGCTGTGGAGGGGACAACCAGGAGGAAGAGAATGACTGTGTACCTAGAGACAGGCAAGAATACATGGACTTGGTCCACTGTTGGAGGAGGAGCAGTGACACATGAAGGCCTTCCCCGACCCAGGTTCCTGGGAGCACCTGAGGCTAAGGTTACGTCATCAAGTCAGAGTCCTTGTGGTCTCAAGTCTTCCACCACATTAACGACTGTCACCTGAGTAGAGCAGAGGAGTGTACTGGAGAGTGGAAGTATATTCTACATGGAGGAGCTCAAGGAGATCACAGTGCTGATCAGGGAACAGAAACAGGATCTCTGGAGGAATCTGAACTCTCGTGTGGCTACAGCAGAGACACATTTCACTTCTGCTACCCAGACAGCCCCAGCTTTCCAGTGGACCCAGGAAGAGAGTCGCACACTCCACAGCATAGGCCTCACAAAGAGAGGGTGTAATCATCTACAGGAAGAACAAAACATAACAATATAATACGAAGTGCCCTGTGCATGGTAGACATTCATGAAACCCCACCATAATTCCCGGGGCTCCGTATTGTTAGGGAACCTCTCTGTTCCACCAGCCCCTCTATTCTCTTGTGGTTCAAGTGCTGGGTGTGCAAGTTGACAACAGCAGCCCCAATTACAAATCATGTGGAAATTTGTCAAAGCTGGGTCACTCCATTGTATTTGGTAATTCAGAGCTGCTTCACTCATCATGAGTGGATTTAACTCCCCCAAACACCTTCACAACCAGGTATGTTCATGTGTAAAGGACAGAATAGGATGACAGATCTGTCAGATTTTGTCCTCGCTCCAATCAGTATCACCTCCCTGGGAGCATCCTGGGTGAACCCTCATCACTCAGTGACACATTTATACAAGTAACACCTTCTCTGGTCCTGAAATGACACTTCACATCTGTGTGACAAGCGCAGGTCACCCCCTTTAACCTGTGTCCTCATCACTGCACTCAGTGATTTAGATCAGTGGTCTGGGAAAGCCCTTCTCTCCGTATCTTCATTAACAGAGCTGTGGATGCATATCTTGTTCCCTGGCTCCCTGTATGTTGTTAATGTGAATTAAAAAAATAAATACACTACCTGCCTGATAGAGGGATTGAAGATCATGAGAAGTTGGAAGATCCAGTTATGAGGACACATCTTGATCTTTGTTAGGGCCTGGAGGAGTGGGCTGACCAGCTCGTGGATTGCAGAGGGGAGGAGACACCCACAGCATCCAGGTCCATGGGAGTCTCAAACTCACAAGGTGTTCTCTGGGCCCTTGATCTGCACAGATTGATGTGAATGTCCACCCTGGCTCCAGGGTGTGTGTGGACCTGGGTGGAGGCCAGCTGACATCACTGCTCAGAAGGAAGGAAATAACCAGGAACATTTATATTTATGTGAGTGTGGGTGGGTTCCTATGGTTTTCTCATACCCAGGAACAAAACACCTGGCATGTGGGGATAACAGGTGTCTGTGATGTGGACATTGTCAGTGACTACTCTGGCTGGATATTGGGATGTGTTTGAAGACCCATTTAGAAAAGGGTTGAATCAAAATCTGAGAGGAGAACACAGGCAGTAACCTCTTAGATATTCAACTGCAGCAACATCTTGCAAGACGGGTCTCTAAAAGCCAGGGAAACAATCAAAAAGGAACTTTTGGGACTTCATCAAGATGAAAATCTTCTGCAATGCAATGGAAACAGTCAACCAAACTAAAAGGCAACCTATGGAATGGGAGAAGCTACTTGCAAATGACACTACAGACAATGGGTTGATATCCAAGATCAATAAAGAACTTACCAGACTCAACACCCATAAAACAAATAATCCAGTCAAGAAATAGACAGAAGGTATGCATAGACCCTTCTCCAGAGAAGACATACAAATGACCAACAGACACATGAGAAAATGCTCCACATCCCTTGTCACCATGGAAATATAAATCAAAACCACAATGAGATTAACATATGAGTTAGGCTAAAATTAATAAGGCAGGGAACAAAAAATGTTGGAGAGGATGTGGAGAAAGGGGAACCCTCTTATGCTGTTGATGGGAATGCAAGTTGATACAGCCACTTTGGAAAACAGTGTTTAGTTTCCTCCAAAACTTATAATAGAACTACCCTATGACTCAGCAATTGCTCCACTAGGTATTTACCCCAAAGATACAGGTGTAATGAAAAAAGGGGCACATGCACCCCAATATTCAATAGGATTAATATCCACTTTGGTGAAACTGTGGAAGGAGCTGAGATGTTCTTCCATATATGAATGGATAAAGAAGATGTGGTTCATATATACAATGGACTATGACTCAGCCATCAGGAAGGATATATACCTACCATTTCATTGACTTGGATGGAACCAGAGGGTGTTATGTGAAGTAGAATAAGTCAAGCAGTGAAAGATAATTATCCTACGGTTTCACTTCTATGTGGAACATAAGGAAGAGTGAGGAGGACCACAGAGAAAGTCAATTATCATATGGTTTTACTTACTTGTGGAGCATAAGGAATAACATGAAGGACATTAGGAGAGGGAAAGGAAGAGTGAATTGTGGAAAATTGGAGGGAGATATGAAGTATGAGATACTGTGGACTCTGAGAAACAAACTAAGGGTATTGGAGTGGAGAGGGGTGTAGGGATGGGTGAGCCTGGTTGTGGGTATTAAGGAGCCCTCTTATTGCATGGAGCTCTGAGTGTAGTACATAAACTGAATCTTGGAACGCTGAAAAATAAAATAAAATAAAACAAATAAATAAAATAAAATAAGAAAAGAAATCAGAGATGGAGAAAAACCATGAGAAACTCTGGATTCTGAGAAACAAACAAGGATTACAGAAGTGAGGGTGGTGGGGGATGGGGCAGGGAGGTGATGGATATTAAGGAAGTCAGGTGATTCGATGAGCACTGGGTATTATACACAACTAATGAATCTCTGAACACTTTATCACCTACTAATGATGTACTATATATTGGCTAATTGAACAGAAAAAATGAATATGGACTTTTTTTCACTTTTTTAAAAATTTCTTTTCAGTGTTCCAGAATTCATTGTTCATGCACCAAGGAAATAAGGGCTTCAAATGACACACTGGACTGCATAACTTACTTATTATTTATTTGAGCCCTTTCTCTTTCATTTTCATAAATTTAGGTAGAGGATTCTCAAATATATTGTGTTTTTTCCCCCAAAGTATCATGTGACATCATAAGCACAGGGTTTTATACTGAACTGATGGAGCATTGAATATTATATCAAAAGCCAATCATGTACTATACCTTGGCTAATTGAATTAGAAAAAACATATGCAGACCCTGGTTTCTTTGATCTGTTCCGTGGTTTCTTAGTTTCTATATAATCTCTTTCTGCTCTAATCTTGCTATTCCCTTCCTTCTGCTATATTTAGGATTCAGTTGTTCTTTCTCTAGCATCTTTAGGTGTAATGTTAGGTTGTTTATTTGAGATTTTTCTTCCTTCTTGAGGTCTTCCTGTATGCTGTGTATTTCTGTCTTAGGACCACCTTTGCTGCAGAGAAATTACAGGATGGTGATAGAGGTTTTCTATTCTTTTCTTAAATTTATTTTGATTTTTTCAGTGGAGGTTTTATACTGCTGTGTGTGTGTGTGTGTGTGTGTGTGTGTGTGCGCGCGTGTGTGTGTGATCTTCTGGCTCTACTGGAGGTTCTAGTGATCCACAGTGACTGTCACTGAGATTCTTATAAAGGTTTTGTTGACCTGCATCAGGATATTTGTAATTTATTGGTATTTAAGGACAAGAGGAAACTAATGTAACTGACTCTTTTTCTTTCTTTCTTTTTTTTTTTTTGCATGTTTGCATATTTTTATTCCTGTTACAAGTAAGTTTTTAAGTCAGAGAGTGAATAGGTAAGCACAGAACAATGTCAAGAAGGCTCCCTTGGGGAAACTGCTCTTTGGAGAGGAAACCCCAGACCCTGACAGGAAATATGACATAACCACCATCTGCAGCTGCTCCTGGGATTAAAGACAGAATTGGTGAGTAGTGTGCACCCTCTGCTAGTCTGATACCCTTGTAGTTTGAGATTTGTGCCTGGGCTCACACTGAGGTCCCCTCACTGTGTCTGTTGCACAGTAATACATGGCCGTGTCCTCAGCTCTCAGGCTGCTCATCTGCAGATACATTGTGTTCTTGCCGTTGTCTCTGGAGATGGTGAATCGGCACTTCACAGAGTCTGCATAGCTTGTGCTACTTCCACCACTGCTAATATATGTGACCCACTGCAGCCCCTTCCCTGGAGTCTGGCGGACCCAGTTCATTTCATAGTTACTGAAGGTGAATCCAGAGGCTGCACAGGAGAGTCTCAGAGAACACCCAGGCTTCACCAGGTCTCCCCCAGACTCCACCAGCTGCACCTCACACTGACCACCTGCAGACACAAGACATCCTTGTCAGGAATCCGTCACACACCCATGGTTTCTCTAATTCATATTCACTCACATCCTCAATGTTTCTTGTTCTCCATAAATTACCTTTTAAAAGAGCAACAAGGAAAACCCAGCCAAGCACAGACTCCATGGTGAGTTCACTGTGTTCTGTCCTGCTCAGTGAATGTGTACACCTGGAAATCCCAGGACTGGGGCTCCTCTCCCAGCTGCATGGTCCGGGCTGGGCTGTCTTATTCAGTGGAGAGATGACCCTATTTGCATGTCCTCTGAGTATATAGTTAGCTCCAGATGTAGGTTCAATTCTTTGCAAGTTAAAAACAAAGATTGCACTGTTTGTAGAACACTTTGTTTAGACAGCATTATGACAATATGTAGTGTTCATTTTTTGTTTGTTTGTTTTAAAAAATGCATTTATTGGGCTCCTGGGTGGCTCAGTGGGTTAAAGCCTCTGCCTGTGGCTCAGGTCATGATCCTGGTGTCCTGAGATTGAGCCCCCCATCAGGCTTTCTGCTCAGTCTGGAGCCTGCTACCCCCGACCCTGCCTGCCTCTATGCCTAATTGTCATCTCTGTCTGTCAAATAAATAAATAAAATCTTTTAAAAAATACATTTATTGGTAAGAAACATTGGAACGGGAAATCAATATTATAAATTCCCATTCAGAGTTAATAATTCTATCAGAGCCAAGTTTAAATATACGTTTGATATATGAATGAATAAACTTTGCCAAAAGTACTAGGATTATCAGTTTCCAAACTCTGTTGTGTTCCATTGTCCTGTGTGTCTGTTTTTATGCCAGCACCATACCGTTTTGATGACAACAGCTTTGAAATTGGAGTGTGGTGACTCCAGGTGGCTTAGCTGCCTGTTTGCTTTCTTTATTTCTTTTATATATATATATATATATATATATATATATATATATATATATATATATTTAAATTTCTTTTAAGTGCAGAATTCATTATTTATGCACCACACCGAGTTCTCAATGCAAAACTTGACCTACATAATGCCCACCACCATCTCACCCAACCTCCCAGTTCCCCTCACCTCCAAAACCCTCAGTTAGTTCCTCCATGTCCACAGTCTCTATGGTTCATCTCCCCTCCAATTTCCCCCTACTCCCTTCTCCTTTCCATCTCCCCATTTCTCCGTGTTATTCCTTATGCTCCACAAATAAGAGAAACCATATGATAATTCACTTTTTCTGCTTGATTTATTTCACTCAGCAGTATTTTAATCTGTGAAGAGATTTTTTTCTTATTTTTTACAGCTTTTTAAAAATTATTTTGCTATGTTAGTCACCATGCAGTACATTATTAGTTATTTCTCACTGTATACTTTTCCCTGCTTTGTCAAAGATTCTTTCACCATAAAGTTGAAAGTTCATTCTTGGCTCTCTACTCTGTTCCACTGGTCTATGTGTCTGTTTTTATGCCAGTCCCATGCTGTCTTGGTGATCACAGCTTTGTAGTAAAGCTTGAAATCAGGTAACGTGATGCCCCCAGTTTTCCTTTCCTTTTTCAACATTTCCTTAGCAATTCAGGTGTTTTATGGCTCCATACAAATTTTAGGATTGTTTGTTCCAGAGCAAAAAAAATGAAAAAGCATTCCATGATCACGGATTGGAAGAATAAACATTGTTAAAATATCTATAAGTCCAGAGCAATCTATATTTTCAGTGCAATCCCTATCAAAATTCCAGTGACATTTTTCAAAACAAAGACTTTGAATGACACACTATAACAGACCGATTTCAGTTTTATTTAATTTTTTATTAACATATAATGTATTATTAGCCCCAGGGGTACAGGTCTGTGATTTATCAGACTTACACACTTCTCAGCACTCACTATAGCACATACTCTCTCCAATGTAACCCAACGACCCCTGATTTCTTATTTTATGTTTTTAAATTATGTATTTTTTAATTTCTTTTCAGCATAACAGTATTCATTGTTTTTGCACCACACCCAGTGCTCCATGCAAACCGTGCCCTCTCTAATACCCACCACCTAGTTCCCACAACCTCCCAACCCCCGCCCCTTCAAAACCCTCAGATTGACTTTCAGAGTCCATAGTTTCTCATGGTTCAACTCCCCTTCCAATTTCCCTCAACTCCCTTCTCCTCTCCATCTTCCCTTGTCCTCCATGTTATTTCTTATGCTCCACAAATAAATGAAACCATATAATTGACTCTCTCTGCTTGACTTATTTCACTCAGCATAATCTCTTCCAGTCCCGTCCATGTTGCTACAAAAGTTGGGTATTCATCCTTTCTGATGGAGGCACAAAACTCCATTGTGTATATGGACCACATATTACTTATCCATTCGTCCATTGAAGGGCATCTTGGTTCTTTCCACAGTTTGGCGACCGTGGCCATTGCTGCTATAAATATTGGGGTACAGATGGCCTTCTTTCACTACATCTGTATCTTTGAGGTAAATACCCAGTAGTGCAATTGCAGGGTCTCAGGGAAGCTCTATTTTTAATTTCTTGAAGAATCTCCACACTGTTTTCCAAAGTGGCTGCACCAACTTGCATTCCCACCAACAGTGTAAGAGGGTTCCCCTTTCTCCACATCCCCTCCAATACATGTTGTTTCCTGTCTTGCTAATTTTGACCATTCTAACTGGTGTAAGGTGGTATCTCAAGGTGGTTTTAATTTGAATCTCCCTGATGGCTAGTGCTGATGAACATTTTTTCATGTGTCTGATAGCCATTTGTATGTCTTCATTGGAGAAGTGTCTGTTCATATCTTCTGCCCATTTTGTGATATGATTATCTGTTTTGTGTGTGTTGAGTTTGAGGAGTTCTTTATAGATCCTGGATATCAACCTTTTGTCTGTACTGTCATTTGCAAATATCTTCTCCCATTCCTTGGGCTGTCTCTTTGTTTTGTTGACTGTTTCCTTTGCAGTGCAGAAGCTTTTGATGTTGATGAAGTCCCAAAAGTTCATCTTTGCTTTTGTTTCCTTTGCCTTTGGAGACATATCTTGAAAGAAGTTGCTGAGGCTGATATCAAAGAGGTTACTATCTATGTTTTCCTCTAGGATTCTGATGGATTTCTGTCTCACGTTGACATCTTTTATCCATTTAGAGTTTATCTTTGTGCGCAGTGTAAGAGAATGGTCGAGTTTCATTCTTCTACATATAGCTGCCCAGTTTTTTCAGCACCATTTATTGAAGAGGCTGTATTTTTTCAACTGTATATTTTTTCCTGTTTTTTCGAAGATTATTTGATCACAGAGTTGAAGGTCCTTATCTGGGCTCTCTACTCTGTTCCACTGGTCTATGTGTCTGTTTTTATGCCAGTACCTTGCTGTCTTGGTGATCACAGCTTTGTAGTAAAGCTTGAAATCAGGTAATGCATACAGCAATTCAGCAACGTGGCAGGATACAAAGTCAATGTACAGAAATCAGTGGCTTTCTTATACACTAACAATGAAAATACAGAAATGGAAATTAGAGAATCGATTCCATTTACTATAGCATCAAGAACCATAAGAAACCTGGGAATAAACCTAACCAAAGAGGTAAAGGAACTGTACTTGAGGAACTGCAGAACACTCATGAAAGAAATTAAAGAAGACACAAAAAGATAGAAGACCATTCCATGCTCTTGGATCGGAAGAATAAACATTGTTAAAATGTCTATACTGCCTAGATCAATCTATACTTTTAATGCCATTCCAATCAAAATTCCACCTGTATTTTTCAAAGAGCTGGAGCAAAGAATCCTAAAATTTGTGTGGAATCAGAAGAGACCCCGAATCACTAAGGAAATGTTGAAAAGCAAAAACAAAACTGGGGATATCACATTACCTGATTTCAATCTTTACTAAAATTATGTATTTAATTTCAGTTCAGTTAACACACAGTGCCTTAGTGGTTTCAGAGGTAGAGTTTAGTAATTCATCAGTTACATATAACACTGAGTGCTCATTCCATCAACTGCCACTAAGTCCGTGAGCAGTATTGTTCCTAGAAAGTCCTAACCCCATTGACGGGCATTGCTTGGACTGCTATCTGAGGTCCAGACCCACACTGGGTGTGCTCATACCCAGAGGAGGTGCAGGTCCCAGATGGCTGCGGGTGGAAGGACTTAGGCATGTGCTCATGACTGCCTGATTCCACTAGTTGCCCCTTAAGATCTTTTGCTCTTTTTGAGTGCTTTTAACCAGACTTCAAATTAATGTTTGTTCACAACCATAGGGCACTAATATATTGGGGTAGTACTTTCCAATGAGTCACTCCAGGTTCTTCCCTCCCCTTCTGTTTATCCTCTGATATCAGTCTGAACATTTCCACTCTGCTTTACCTCTTCACTGATGTTATCTGCACCCATAGAGATCCAGAAGTGTACACTCTTACGTCTCAGGCTGATTTAATTGGTATTCGGTGTTCAGAAAGATATTCAGGTCACTTTAGGGCACTGGTTGAAACATCGTCTCCTCCTACTCTCCACCATCTTGCCCCTCATCCATAAAGTCTTTTTAAAATTGTGTTATGTTAGTCACCATAAAATACATCATTAGTTTTTGATGCAGTGTTGCAAGTTTCATTGTTTATGTACAACACCTAGGGCTCCATGCAATACATGCCCTCCTTAATACCCACACCAGGCTCACCTATCACGCTATCCTTCTTCCCTCCAAAACGTTCAGATTGTTTCTCAGAATGCACAGTGTCTCATGGTTCATCTCCACCTCTGATTTGCCCCAATTCACTTTTCCTTTCCTTCTCCTAATGCCCAGTATGTTAATCTTTATGCTCCAAAATTTAGTGAAACTGTATGATAATTGGCTTTCTCTGTTTGACTTATTTCACTCAGCACAATCTCTTCCAGTCCCTTCTATGTTGATGCAAATGGTGGGTATTCATCCTTTCTGATGGCTGAGTAATATTCCTTTGTGTATATAGACTACATCATGTTTATCCATTTGTCTGCTGAAGGGAATCTTGGCTCTTTCCACCATTTGGCAATTGTGGACATTGCTGCTATGAACATTGGGTTTCAGATAGCCCTTCTTTTCAGTATATATGTATCTTTGGTATAAATACCCAGTATTGCAGTTGGAGGGTCATACATAGCTGTCTTTTAATTTTCTGAGGAATCACCACACTGTTTTCCAATGTGGCTGCACCAATTCGCATTCCCACCAGGAATGGAAGAAGGTTCACCTTTCTCCACAACCT